ATATGGCGATCCGGCAAAAATGACCCCCCTCCAGATTTTTACATTTTTGGACTTTAGACACCTTGAAACGTCGAGAAATGCAAAAAAAAAATTCAGGGGGGTAATTATTGTATGTATGGATGTTAGTGTGTGTGGGAAGGAATGATTTTGTTCACCCTGTTTGAAGCTTAATAACTCCTGTATTTTTTGTGGAAAATTTCTGAAATTTTCAAGGACGTTTGTTTAGTAGGGGGATTGATGCTATTAAATTTTGGTGATTATAGATCGAGGGGTGGGGGAAATAATGGAGGTCGTGCATATCTCCAGCAGGGTCGGACTTAATGACGATTTTACTCGTTATTGGCATTTATCAATTTTTTAAAACTTATCCATACTTTCAAAATTACGGTTTTTGCCAGTTTATAATAATTTAAAATATAAAAGTTTTTTTAATAAAATATGATAACAGATGGCGCCACCGAAATTTTAAATGTTGCAGGGAAAGTTGAGCAACTCATTGATGGTTTATTTGTAATTGATGAACTGTTCTATCTAAAACGAAATACGTGCCCTATTCACACAAAGTCTTCTTTCTTGAAAAGCTTCTGATGATATTATGATTCTTCCTAAAATTTTTTAGATCTGTAATAATTTTGTTAGTTGTGTAACATTTGAGAAATGTTTTCGAAAATTTTGAAAAATGTAGACTATTTCTTACAAAGTTGCAATATTTTCTACATTCCTTCGCATAGTGTTAAGATTGTAAAATCGGCTTACGTCAAACTATTCAAGTCGGATAAAAGACTGCGTGTAGAAGTACAATGTACTGTACTGCACAATTGGACGAATTAAACGTAAGCGTACTGTACTGTACCTCACGCGATCGTGACTTCGATTTGATTTTTATCAAATACCGCCTTAACTTTTAAGTGTTAATTCTGCCAAATCGGTTGATTAAGAATGCTTTTTGCGTTCAATGTTGCAAAAATATATAGAAATTACAGGTTTTTATAAAGTTAAGCTTAGAATTTAAAACTACTGTACTGTACTTTCTAACTTTTTAGAAATTCACTTTTATTACTACCTAAGATTAATTAAAGAGATTTCATAATCTCAGTCGAATTTGAATTCACACGATAAACAAACATTTAATCACGTTATGGTTCGATTATTTGAAGGTTTCGCGTTAAAAATTTAGTTTTGAATAAAGTTTTAACAAGGAATATTGCAATTTATTTCATTCTTAATTATTTTATCAATTTTGTACATCTAGTCTATATGTTGACCTTATAAAATTCAGTGATAATACGAAGTGTATCATCTTTTATAATGTTTTATTTTGGAAAAACATAAATATTTGAATATAGAACATATAGAACATAAATATTTGATTCTAAATGACAGAATTTTTGCTTCTGATAACGAAAACTCTTATTTAATACGTGAAAAAATAGGTGTAATTAGCGTGTGATAGACAATAAGTAGATTATAATACTATATGTTTAAATAAATTATTATTAACGTTGAAAGAAGTAATGATTTTGGAGAATCGACGACTTTAAATCTGTAATAGAATTCCGAACGTTAAATAGGAGAAAGGTAAACTTTGTCTGTCCTTGAGACTGTTGTGTGTTAAACATTTCACAGTAAGCACGATTTCTAACTTTTTCCATCCTTAAATACACCTGTCAAGGTCATCCGATCTCACTTCAAGATTTTGCTAATCGTACGGTTTATAATTTACGGGTAAATTCGAATTCGACAAATCACTGTTGCGTCATTTGCTAACCACACGCAATTATCGTGAAGAATAATTAAGTCTAGCGTTTACTCGACGGACTCCCCATTGTAAATCAGCGGTCCGATAATATTAATGTTAGGGAAAGCGTTATAATTTACTTTTCGCGTTGAAATATTGCCTTTTCGATTGCGTCACAGAGTACTTATATAAGAAATAGTAAGATATAACCTACGACGAATGTTAAGAATTCGTTTAGTGCGCTATCTGTCCTTCAAATCCCCTCTGATTGAAGCCAATGAACCCCACCCTTCAGAAGGTATATACCGTTTGTATAATGTATACCGACTCTCTCGTCCTAAGCCACAATAAAACGTTTCTAAAGAATAGTGCGGTACGTGGGTGGTTAAACACGTGACCGTAACACCTCCCAAAATGTTAGTCGCAGAATCCGTGAGAGGTATAGCGCTTAGCGTAACTAGTTTTACATCCGGTCCTTTGAAAAACTTTGTCGAGTTCGGTAGTCTAAACTATGCAGATTCGAATAAAATTAGCTGTCACTTTTAATTTTATTATTATAGTCGCTTGTCATATTTATCATTCTTAAAAGTCGACGCAAATTAATCCTGAAATCTTTGAAGCCATATTTTTTTTTATTTATATTTTAAGAAAAATATATAATTCTTTTTCGTTAAATATTCGAAGTTTTAATAATACATTTCGGCTTTAAAAAGGATAATATTCCCATAAATGTACGGAAAGAAGACGGCAGTTTCCTTTATCGGTCGATTTTAAGTCGGAATTCACGAGATATTTTACTTCGTGTAATTAAAAATACAATACTTCGATTAATTTTTTGATATAGGATAAGTCATACTAAACAGAACGCTTAATTTCATAATTAATATTGATCCATAACATTTGATTCTCGATCCTCTACTGATCCTTGGCACTTTATATAATAAAGTACTAATGATCAGTAGAGGATCAGTAGATGATTTAATATTTTATAAACGACTTTATATTTTACAAAACTTTCGAGAATTTTGCGCAGTTAAACCGGTACTGTCGATATTCTTTATCTAAAAAGACGAATGAACTTTTTACTTTCCTTATTATTTCCCAATAGTTTTATCAATTATCGTCTTTAGTATACAGATTTAACTTACGTGTAGGTAGTATTCTACATTGCATTACGTAAATCCATATATGTTAATTAAATACTGTATACATCTTTGATGTAGATTTATCCTATAAGCAAATGGTATTCTTATTATTTAGATAGCGATTACACGTATATACTTGCCGTTACGGTTCGAAGAAGCTTTGGCAAAATATCTTTCATATATTTTGTTTAATATAAATTATATTTATGATGTGATATGATATGATGATAATTAAATAAAAACCTTATATATATATATTGAATACGGTAGTAATGATGCGCTACGTCAATCATTAATTTTTCTTGATGGTCCAATTCATTTACGAAATTTTTGCAAAAAAATAAAAAATAAAATAATAATAATAATAATAATAATTTTAAAATAGGTTTGAACGAAAATTCTTTCTTTCATTTGTCGAACTTACTTCAGAAATGCCTAAGAAAGAATAAATAGACTAATTGCGTTTTAATAAAACTTGAATACATCTTCGGGTCTGTTTCCGAGGAATTTACCAATGTATCGGCAAAGGTTTTTTTTTTTAGTTATTCAAAAAGACTTATTTTTGACGCGTATTTATGCAAATGATAGCTTAGAGACGAAATCGATTGGCGGAAAAGGCAGAAGACGGTCTTATAAAAATACAAAATGCTTTAGGAAGGGGCCTCGGGGCCATAACCCTCTCGGTTCGACCAATCGGAGAATCCGACGCTCTTTCTCCTAATGTATAAAAGACAAATCTGGCGCTCGACTCGAATTATTTAAAGCGCGGTAAATCCGTTATGGTAAGATCATTAACTATTATATTTATAAATTAGCAAGTAAGTAATTTGTTTGATTCTCCTTCGCCTTTTGCTAAAATGAACTTTCGATCGTTTTACGTATAAAGTGGAAATGTTTGCATTTTTTAAAAAAGATAATCGATTGTTAAACTTGAAAAATTATAAAGAGGAGCGCACGTTTGATTTGATATATATATATATCACTTAAGACGTCGTTTAATCCTTTGAATAATGCTTAATTATAAAGGTTGAATTTTAATATTTGCGACAAAAAACGTAGAGAATTAATTGAGGGAATAGAGAGCAAATACGAGAACAAAAAGGAGACACCTCGTCGTCCGTGTTCGGAAAAACTTATGGTTTTATTAGATTCCAAGACAACAGAGAATTTGTCTTATCGCGTTACGACTCGAAGGAAACAAAGAAAGCGGTGATAATACGGGACTTACGTTAATGGCGCTAAATGACTGCGTCCGGTTTTGTTACATCAGCTTTTTCACTTTTGACAATCGTTAAGTCCGATTAATCCAAAGGCGATCGTTATCGGACGGTCGAAGGGTTCAAGGTCGAGGACGTGAAATATATTCGATATTTTCTTCCAACGTCCGGTGATTGGTGCCAAAGACAATTAGCGTTCGTAACTTACTTTTTCTTACTTATACGGCGATTCTTAGTTTCTTCTTTATTTGTGACAGAGATCGACAACCTACGACCCGTGGGACAAATAGGGCCCCGAAGCATATTTATCCAGCTCTTGTATCTTTATAACTGATGTGTTTTATCATAAACATTTCAACTAGTTCAAAACATATGTAACTTTTGAAAAGTCAGCTAGAATTAATACAACTTGCTGCCAATGACTTTTATAAAAACCTATTTAAAGAAGAGTTTGTTAATTTTTATAAATCTCTGCCAAAAGAGAATTTTAAAAGTCTTAAAAAGTTTGCACAAGGGCATTTCCTATTTATCTTTGTACCTGCCTTTGCAAAGAAATCTTTTCGAAAGTTAAAATATCGAACATTAAGAATATCTGAAAATTTTAATATTGAGTGGCACAAAATTTATCCTCAATTTTAATAACATGCTTTCGAAAAAACAATGGCAAATTTCACATTTGTTTATGTCCGTTGCCATTCAGAAATTTAAAAAAAATCGTAATCTTCCATTATGTATTTCGTACCAGGACTTCAGACTTGTCTTTTACTCACAAGGCCATTCTCAGTAAAAAGTTCGATTACCTGATTTATGGCATTAAATGTCATTAAAGTAAAAACATTTAATTTTTAAATGTTGTTTTCTGTTACGTAAATAATAATAATTCCATTTTTCTCTCTTCAGAAGCCAACGATTATTCCATTGATTTATTTAAGGATTTTTATCGGGTTCGGTGTTTTTATTCCGTGTCTACCGGGAAACGGTAAGTATTGTCAATCTTTAAATTCTTTTGTTTAAAGTTGAAAGTTTCATCAGAAAGATAAGAAAAATAATTTTTAATTGAAGTAAATTAACGCGATTTGTGTACTTAGATCTTTTTAACAATTAATAAATGTTTTAATTTTATTTATATATTTCAAATCTGTAAAGTTTTCTGTACAAAATGATTAAATCGTAAAATGTAATTAGTTCCAGAACAACCGGAGGAATACGAAGACGAACAAGATATACCGATGCCGGATATTCGAGAGGAAGATCTGAATAAAGCCGGAAAAAGCGGTCTAAAAAGTTTTCGAGATCTACAACATTTAGAAGAAGAGTTGTGGCTAAAAGGCAAGAATCGTTCGTAAACAAAAAATTCATATCGAATTTTCTCATTTATTCGAGAATTTCGTACTTCAGTAAGCGATAATATTGTTTTTTTTTTCTACAATGGAGCAAAAAATGCTTTCTTTCGATCTTATGTAAAATAGTATCTTATGCAATTTTATTGAATGTATTTGGTTAGTGTATATGTTGATAAGTAAATCTCTGCTGTTTTGTACGTATAAAACTAATTTACTTATCAACATATACATTAACTATAATCTATATGCCACTACAGGATACGAATAGAAAGTATTTTCTGATCGGCCAGCATCCGGATGGAAGTTGAGTAAACTACGTAGATTAGTTTCCACAAACGGTTTTTTTATAATAGGAATAAGAAAACAATTTAGAGTAAATAACTTAAAAAGTTTCCTTCACATATTAACGATTTTTAATTACAGTCGATTGTGTCGTTTATTAATTGTTAGTACTGTACAGACTATTGCCATAGAGTTACAAAAATGTAAGAAGGTACTAAACGAGTTTGTCGTCACACATTCTTCTTTACATAGATTAACATGTGATGTTTTGTCTTTCGAAATAACATATTTAGGTCTAAGCCCAAAAATTTCTGAAACTGTAGACGACGAAAATAAACGTTAAAGGATTCGTTCATTTTATTGAGAAATATGTAGGCTACTGTATATACGTACAGGGTGGTTATAATTAAAGTTGCGCTACTCAGACCTGTATAGAACTCGTTCTCGTGGACGTATTCTGACGAAACTTGGTATATATGTTATATGGACCATGGGGAAAAGGAAACTGCAAAGAATATATTTAGTTCGAATTTTTACCACTAGGTGATAAAATGGCGCACGAAGAACAAAAAACACAAAATGGAAACACGCAAAAGGTTTTTATTCACAACATTTGTTCAATGTGCAATCCATTTGCATCAATTACGTGTTCAAAACGCCTTACAATGCTATAAGGCGTTTAGAACACGTGACTGATGCAAATTGCATTGTAAGACGTTTTGAACACGTAATTGATGCAAATGAATTGAACATTGAACAAATGTTGTGAATAAAAACCTTTTGCGTGTTTCCATTTTGTGTTTTTTGTTCTTCGTGCGCCATTTTATCACCTAGTGGTAAAAATTCGAACGAAATATATTCTTTGCAGTTTCCTTTTCCCCATGGTCCATATAACATATATACCAAGTTTCGTCAGAATACGTCCACGAGAACGAGTTCTATACAGGTCTGAGTAGCGCAACTTTAATTATAACCACCCTGTACCAAACAGAGTATTATTTATCATAGTTTTTTCTTACAGTAGAAAGTTACAGCGAATATAAATTGATGACAAATGTCTTTAAATATATTAAACATTAATTATTCAAGTTAGGAGTTTGTTGGGATATTATTACCGGTTTTGTTTATAATATGTAGATTAGAGTAATAGTCATTTCTCCGTAAAGTAAGGAATATTCTCTAAGAAATACGCACTTAATTTGTTTTTACGCATAATCGTAACATTTAAAATAATTTATGACAATAATTTATAAATAATTAAAAATGAAACTTTCGATATAGGCTATTCTTTTTAAAATTCTTGAGTGGCGTATACGAAATTGTTTCATAAAAGTAGTAGAAGATTTTTTTCTTCCGAATATTTGTGAAATAATTAAGTTTTATTAACTAAGAATTGTAAAATGTATGTAGGAGTGACGTTGAAGAAAGGCAGTAAAGAGGCGGCTCATCAATCCCTGTTCGGAAATAACATCAAAGTGCGTCAATTGGGCAGGGACGGTTTGATAAGCGTAGAAGCTTCTCTTCACCTGATGAAAAAGTAAGAAAAACACATTTTCTAAAATAATATTTTTGTAAATTTTCATTAGAATTTTAATTGAAGATATTATTATTTTAATGGTAATTATTATACAAATTTTAATCTCGGCATTTCTCGTCTAATTGGCGATCGAACGAACTTTGAAGAACGAAAAACGTATTACAGTCGAAATTAGAGATTGTAAACAGCATATAAACATATCAAATATTAATGAAAATTATTTTATTTTATCAGATTTTTAATGATGTCACAAAAAGATGTATGCACGTAACTTTATGCAAGTGTTATTTTTTCCTTAGGGCGTCAGCCCTAAGGAAAAAATAAATAAATTACAAACGAATGAACGGACTATGCTATACAATTAAAGCAAATGCATAGACATTAGAAATAGTTCTTCCATGTATTTCAGGTAATAAATGTAGATTAAATACTTCGCACCATAAGGAAACAGATACTAACAGTTTGACATTTGTATATTAAAATTTAATGTGTAACGGGCACGCACATCTCGTTAATCTTCGTTTCATCATATTGAACTGTAACCGAATATATGGAAATTAATTCTGCCATATTAAAGTATAAATTAGGTTACATAAATCTGTGGCATTATTATATGATTTATGTATTCCAGATTATTAAGTGATTCCAGAGAAATCACTTAATAATCATTAATTATTTTGGTCTTTCTGACGATTCCGAATGTCCAAAATTGTTAATCATTTCTCAAAAACGGATTTTCTCTGAGACTTAGAGTCGTCTCTCAAAAACTGAGACTAATGTTTTCTTACTACGGTCTTTGTGTCTTAAAACCGATTCATATTTAACAAAACCTCTATGTTCATCTCTTGTTCTCTTCTCTCAAGTGCTCATACAGAAGAGCAACGAAAAAGAAACGCTCCATGAACGAAGGTATAGCTTATTCTTAAATTCCACTTATTCTGTGTCTTCATTCACTAATAATAGAATTGTAAACGATTATAAACTGACGTTCGAAATTTTTATTCTGTACGCTATGTATTTAAATTAATTTCACAATACTTATTATTTATGTTAGGTTCCATTTGAACGAAATTCAAGCCAGAGATGGATTATCTCAATTTAGTGTTAAAGATACGATTATTAACGACAGTTGTCCCGACGCAAATATCTTTTGTAGAAATACTCATTATCGAAGCATGGACGGTTCTTGCAACAATCTGAAAAACCGACTTTGGGGAAAGTCCTTTACTGCCTTCGAAAGGTTATTGCCTCCGGATTACGCAGACGGTAGTTGATGATGTCTTTATTTTCCTTTTAATTAACATTTCGCGTGTTAATTATTTTATTTATTTATTTTTTAGGCATAAATAAACCACGCGTAGCGAAAGACGGAAGCGAATTGCCGAGTGCTCGTCTCGTGTCTTCTCGACTTTCTTCCGATCATAACGCCGCACACGGTTACTTGACCACCCTTTTCGTATACTGGGGCCAATTTCTAGACCACGATTTGACGTTGACGGCTCTCAGCAGAGGTAAATTTTTTAATCGAATGGTTGGTTCGAATTTAACTCTGCGTTATTAAAATAGTTTTTAAACGATGTATAACTAAAGGAAACAATGGAAGACGTATCGAATGTTGTGGAAGACAAAGCCGAATGCATCCTTCCTGTTTTCCTATTTCCCTTCCAAAGAATGACACGTTTTATTCTAAATTCGATGAAACATGTATGGAATTCGTTAGATCGTTTGCATCGCCCAGACCCAAATGTAATTTCGGTAAGTGTAGACGATTGTTTTCATTTCATTAATTACAATAAATATTTTATTGGAAAAGCGTCAAACTAGTTATAATTTACTTGGGAATCAATCATAAACAATGCCTTTTTCCTACTAGTGACTTTTGTAATATTTTTAGTATGCTTTTTCTATAGGCTATACAGTGAAAATCCGAATATTAACCCTTTTCAATGGTAACTTCGTCGTTTTTGATGTTCAACATTCATTCAGAATTGGTGATATTTTAATTTTGAAGTTATAATTAGTGTTGACTTTTGTTTAAATATTGTGATTCTGAAAAATTATATTTTTCTAAGAGTATTCCTATATTCCTTGTGAAATATTAGCTTCAACTTAGAACAGTTAAAGTTTATTTACAGTGTATTTTGAGTTTATAGTTCTTCAAATGCTAATTTACACGAAAAATATTTTCAAAATATTCGAAAATCCGAATGGGTCAGACCCCAATTAGTCCGGATTTTTGATGCTTCATTGTATATGTATAATTAACATTATGAAAAGTTTATTTTAATCTGTAATTTGAGAACATTCTGTACTAAGGCGAATCGAATATTCTGTAGACGAAAGATTTTATAATTATAACAATCGCTATTCTTATGCTAGAATTTCATTCTAAAGCAATTAATTAATGAAGGGACGTGTAATCTCTATTCTCTTCTGAATCCGTTTCAGTTATCTTATACAGTACGTAAGACTCTAATTCCTACTCCTTTCAATTTAAAAATCTCGAAAGACATCATTCAATCGATGAAAAATATTATTTAAGGTATAAATTTATTCTACATTAGAATAGAAATAGTGAAAATTCTTATATTACGTCAGTGGTTTTTTTTAATCTTTTCTGGTGTTTGCACCTCCCTTGAATTTTTCAAAATACATTCTTCTTCTAAGAACAATTTGTTCTTTATTTAAAGTACGTATGTAGGATCATCGTAATACGAATCTAATGCATTCTTGTAAACAATTCGAATAAGATGTTCTTTCCATTATTCTTCTTGGAAAACTTTCCAAGAAGAATAATGGAAAGAACATCTGTATTTCTGTATAACTAGAACAATAACGAGATAAACAAAACAAGATACCGAATCTACAATGATGAATTATTAGGAATAAGATCGTCGGATTGCATCAAAATTTTCTGACAAAAATCCCTAATTGCGATAGAGCACAGGCACAATGACACAAATATAGAAAGATGATGGAACAGCAGATTGACTCTTTAATTTCTATTTTTATACCGCTTTTTCACGAAAAAAAATCGAAAAAAATTCGTAATACCGGGGTAAAATTTGTTATAGGAGTAATCTATATAGAGAATTCGGATATAGCTTTTAGCTGGTTCGATACTCAACAATTACATTTATTTCGAATCAAATTATTTCATCGATATTTGCAAGACGTGGAGAAAAGTTATAAAATTTAATTAATTTAATAATAAATTAATATCATTCATATTAGGTTTACAGAGAATTAATTATTGTAAATCTCTGATAAAATTTTTTTTTTATTCTTTTCAGAAGCAGAGACGTTTTACAATAGGTAACGTCTTAAGATTATCTGCTTAGGAATAAAATTCTCTCATTTTTACACAATTAAAACATATCTTTAAATACGTTTTACGATAGTTTATAAGAGATACACAATTAATAATTGTGTTTTTCAGACATACATTTAATGTAGCTAACGCCATCTTTGATCTAAACCAACGATTCCCAACCGGGGGGTACGCGCTTCGTGGTTTACAGTACGCGAAAAAAATTAATAATGGCGGATTACTATAAGAATAATCGGATTCTGCGCCGAAACGTTTTGCGACGTCACGGCACTCGATATTTATTTTAAATTCTGTGCACTTCCTCCAATGCTTTTCGATTTAAAAAAAAAACAAGTTTTTTACATGTAATTATACAGCGCTGTATAATTAATTGACTAAGTTGCCACTGTTTGAATAAAACGGAAATAAAACTTAGTAGAAATTGGAAATAAAGTTGGGAAAATGGGCTGACAAAGGAGAGGCAAACCAAAAAAGGTTGGGAACCGCTGATCTAAACAATCTAAATTAACATCGTTCTCGTAATAAGTTTATATTTATATCAAGAATTAATTTCTATTTAATTTTCTAGGAGCGAGAGAACAACTGAATCAGTTAACAGCTTACATCGATGGGTCAAATATATACGGTTCGACTAAAGAAGTGGCGGACGAATTACGAAGTTTCAGCGGTGGTACGTTGTATCGCGTTAGTAATAATAAAAATCCATGTAAAAAGACATCTTTATAATCTTTTTCTTTGTAATGTTTTAGATCTGAATTTTGACTAACGCTAATCAAAGTTTTACTGACGTAACATACTTTTCTTTCGGTGTGAGGCTTGTAAATTGTCAGACTTCACAAATAATTTATCTACAGTAAAGACTATACTTTATTGCAGATATATTCGTATTTCTGTAATCATAAGATATTTGTTGTTTTATTATGAATATATTTAATTAATTAATTGTAAAGCCATGCTACCTAATATCGTATTTAAGTATAGTATAATAACATTTTATAACGACAGGTAAATTGAAAATCAATTATCAAAATGGAGCGGTGATGTTACCGAGAGTGAATAAAAGAAACGAACAATGCGAAAGAAAACAAACAGAACGCTTTTGTTTCATGTCTGGTAAAAGTTTGATTAAATCAATTATATTATTTAAATATTAAGGAAAATTAAAGAAACATTCTTATAGTTATAACTTCGATAAACTTTATATTGTTAGGTGATATAAGAGTAAATGAAAACATCAATTTGGCCATTATGCACACCATCTGGTTAAGAGAACACAACAGAATCGCAGGAAAACTCCAGGAGATTAATCCTTCGTGGGACGACGAGAAATTGTATCAGGAATCGCGTCGAGTAGTTGCTGCTCAAATCCAGCACATCACTTACAAAGAATTCCTTCCGTTGTTACTAGGTAAAATTTACTCTAACTTCAATCAATATAATTAACTAACGTACGTAAGTTTTTGTTAAGAGTATGGGTTCGATCCATTCGTTTCAGGACATACGGTGTTTAATATTTTCAAACTGAATTTAAAATCGAGGGGATATAGTTACGAATACAATCCATCAATTAAACCGTCGATATTGAATAGTTTCGCTACGGCAGCTTATAGATTTGGACACACTTTAGTACAAGTAAGCACTTTGTTATTTAATATTTTTTTTGTTCTTTATCCATTCTTACAATATTCCGACCAACGATGAACGAGTGAATTAATTTTCCCATGCAGGGCCTAGTCGATTTGAAGAACGAAAAAGTCGTCACTCGTCAGTTCTCTCTTTCCGATAACTTATTTAATCCGGCATTGTTATACAGAAAGAATCACATAGAAATGTTACTGAGAGGAATGATCGATCAGCCGTCTCAAACGTTCGATAGATTTATTACTTCACAGGTCAGTATATTTTTTCAGAAAATATTGATATTAATTCTATTCGCCACAACAATTTTGTTCGTAACAAAACAAATTCTTTGAAATATCCGTATTTTCTAGTTGACCAACCATCTTTTCGAGAGACCGGGAGAAAAATTTGGACTAGATTTGATATCGATGAACATCCAACGAGGAAGGGATCACGGTCTTCCCGGCTACAATCAATGGAGGAAAATCTGCAAACTAACTCCCATTACAACTTTTTCGAAGTTGGAAGAAGTCACTGGAAAACAAACGGCTGATATATTCCGTCGGTTGTACAAGTCAGTTTCCATTGATATTTTTTTTTCTATTACAAAAAATATAACAATAAAATGTAATGTATTTTTTATTCTACAAATAAGCCTACAATGCTTGTTCATTTGTCATATACCTAATACATATGTATGATTATTCTTGTATTTAAATTTATTTTTAATATAGACTATATATTCATTTCATTGAAATTTTTACTTCTATTTCTGTACTATTTCTGGAATGTTTTATCTACATAAATTAATTTAAATTATTATTGTTAATAGTATAATTTTATTTGTTTGTTTGTCTTTCCATATGAAAGACGGAGTTTTCCATCACAAGCACACGCCTGTGATGGAATATTCATTGACAAGCGCACTCTGTCTTCTACCAATAGATATGATCATGCTTAACCTACAGTAAATACTACATATTGAACAAGCCTAAACAACGATTTCTTAATATTTTATGAAAAAACTAAGAAAAAANCTACAGTAAATACTACATATTGAACAAGCCTAAACAACGATTTCTTAATATTTTATGAAAAAACTAAGAAAAAAACAGTGTGTTTAATGCTCGAATGATTAGCAACGTTTATATCTTTTAACATTTGTATCATATATCTTTTACTCTTTTTAATTTAATGCATATAATAATTTCGTTTCAGATCGGTCGATGATATAGATTTATTTGCGGCAGGAATTGCGGAATATCCTATGTCGGACGGCATCGTGGGGCCGACGTTTGCTTGTATAATTGCCGAACAGTTTCGGAGACTTAAATACGGAGACAGATTTTGGTACGAGAATGGCAAACAAGAAACGTCTTTTACTCCGGGTAATTAATTTTAAATACAACTACTTTAGCCAAAAGACAGTCATTTCTTTTCAATTGCTCGTTACAAATTTAACAACCAGAAAAAATTAACATATTTAATATAAAGCTAAAGGTAGTAATATTTGCCAGATCAAAATCCTCCCAAAGTTTGTACATACGGCACTTTAGAAAAATAGCAAAAACTATTCGATATGCGAAAGTAAAAGGAAAAGAAAATAAATCACCTGAAAGATTATTACAATATTCACATAATAGCAAAAAATTAAAATCATTTTCGTATTTTTTAAATACCTATGCTGTATAAATTCTACTTCTTGCATGGGGGGATTTTGAGGCATAAAGTAATTTGTTATAACATCAACGTTAAACAATGTAATTTCGTGCATATTAACGCGATATTAGCGTATATTTATACGCTAATATCGCGTTATGCAAATGAACTGCTACTTGATATGCGTCATCAGGAAGAAGCTTTCCAGTGAGGAGAAACTTCGTATTGTAGACCTGCTGAAGAAAAGGTTCTGTTGAGAAAACATCATCAGAAGTTGGTGTTGTGCGTACGAGTGTATCAAGAATACAAAATAGTAAGCTAGCATATCACGAAAGTTTAAGAGCCGGCAGGAAGAAAACGTTGAGCGCCAAAACAGAAATGTTTGATAACGAATAGACGTTGCGATCACAAGTAAAGAGGGACTTAGGATAGAAGTGAGAATTATCCACACACAGTAACAATTTGAAAACCCAAGAAGCCTAAACTTACCAAATTACATAAACAGAAACGTCTTTAGCCAAACGCTATA